AAATTGAATCGAGATCGATCCATCTCGAAATCAAAACAAGCTGGCTCAATTGAGTTCTTTGAATCTGTTTCAACTCATAATCAGCTCGATTCGGCCCACAATTGAAACTAAGTGGCCCAAATTTAGTCATTTGGATTTGTACCAACTCGAAATCAGCTCTAGATTGGCTTGTGACTAGTTAAATTTAATTAAAAGCATTATATAAAGAAATTTTATAAATAAAAAAAAAATACTATGAGCCGATCTCTCGTTAATTTGAGCCGATTCATATATGACTCAAAATTACTTTGTAAAAAAAATTGATCCAAAATTTTGACTCATAACTCTGCTCGTTTATTTTAATCCAATCTTAATGCTCATCAAAATTCGAATTAATTTTTCATTGATTAAATAATCTTCGAGCTAAATTCACAACCAAACTTCCTACACAAATAATGAAACAAAAAGGTGTGCATCCTATCCGCCAAATTTGCGCATTACAAAACAAAACACGCATTGTTATAAGACGTCTTGCATCCTTGAATAAAAAATTTATATTTGAATATTTTGGCTAAATTTTAATAACATGATTAACATGATCAATAAATTTATATTAAATTTGATGTAATATATATAAAAGTTAATTAAAATTTATATTATATTTATCCCCAAATAAAATTCATCCAACTGCAAAACATACTTCGATAAATAAATTTAAGTCAGCCTTAACAATCATACCAAACAATTCCTACATATTTACACATCTAACAACTAAATCTTAATATTAACATGCACAATACTTAAATCTTTAAAAACACATCAAAAATATTACTATCATTAACATTTTTTTAAGACAATTAATCTTTTCATACTAATGCATTTGAATTAGTATGAAAAATTCAAATTAGCACAAGAAATGTGGTTGGCATGTAAATCGTCCAAAAATTCAATTAGAATGTCATGAGCTAAAAAATTCTTCCAAAAATAATCAAATCTTCTAATTCAGAGGACAAAATAAGAAATATAAACTTGAGATAATTTCAAAAAACTTTCAAAGAAGAACACCTGAAGCGTGGTTTCCACACATTGCTTCTCAACAGAACGCCTATCCTCTTCCCTAGTACAGACATGGTTGTTGCTACGAGTTGAGAAAAGAAGAAGGAAAAGATTTTTGCTTACATTTATATAAATAAGAATAGCTAAAAAGAATTACACAATCTTACAGATCAAAACTCAGAATTAAGATGTGGAAGCTATGTTTGCCTCCGCAGCTTTAGGGCGCCACATGGTTTTCTGCACGCAGAGCAGCCCCTCGCCCTCCTTCATATAAGTTATTCTGATCTCCCATTTCAAGGACCTTGCGATGAGCTCCAACTCATTGATGGTTTCTTTGGTATCCCTCACTATGAGATAGCCTTCAGGTCTCAGAATTCGATCTACCTCCACAAACACGGGCAGTATATCGCACCTGGACAGCAGTAGAGGTTTAGTAAGAACAATGGGGCATTTGCATGCATGCGACGTGATTCTTATGTATTTACATCTCTATCACCTAAACATTCATATTTGCATGTATACCAATCAAATCTTTAGCATCACATCAATAATAACATCATCAGTATCTTTTTAAAAGAGATGCATCTTTTCGTTGTGACACCAAGGTGTTGTGACTGTAACTTGCACTTTTTTGTAGATATGTAAATAGATAAAAATTGTGTGGTGTATATGTAAATTTTCCAAGAATAATTACAGAAGAACTGCAACATGAATTCCAAATAAATTAGCATCACATGATGAAGTTTTACTAGTTTGAAAGCTCAATTGCTGGTCATTCATTTGTTAATCAAGAGCCGGTTAAAGTAAATTGAAGTATTGAAGAAGTGGTATCCGCTGACTCGTATGATTTTGAAAGGGAAAGTATAGGTAGATTTACATGCATATCACTCAGTTCCTATGAATTTACATATCTAACATCTAAGCTTAACTATTACATAAATTGGGGTATTTTTGATGTGATGTGGAAGGCATGGGTTGTATAAATATAAAACAAATAAAATTTACATGTTAGATATGTAAATACATA